TCAAAAATACATCCGTCCCAAGCTTGATTGCCATTAAAACCTGCTCAGATTTTTTCCTCGGTAGCCGAAAGCAACAGGGCAAAGCTACGCAAAGCTACTTCTAATCTTAAATCTCAATGTGATGATTTGAATTAACCTCGCAAGTGAAGAACTGAAACTTATCTCGTTTCAGGAAACCGTGAGATGAGATGGAGGACTATTTACCGCCTTAGGTCCCATCCCCTCGGTGAACTGTTCCATTCCTTAAAAGATGGAAAACGCTGACTTCTTCTTATAGGAGACCCAATGAGTGTGTCAGCTTACTTTGATTTCTCCATTCTAATCAAGGTGCTCCACTACCTTCAATAGCTTCAATCTATAGTCTTGAGAAGGATTATTAGTCCGAGGGGTAGAGCCTGCTGGCGGTAAATAGTCCTCCACCTCTGGGAATGACTGTTTGGGGAACATAAATCAGTTCTTTCAGAATCAATAGTTTGGAAAAATGACATGTGTAGACTAAGTATGTTGAAAACACACAACCTGTACATGCCTTTTGCAGTTCAGCACGGCTGGACTCTGTTATTGTAACTCATGAGGAGCGTTTATTGAGTTACGCTGATTTTGCAAGCGGATGTGATTTATAAAATAGGATGAGCGCGACAATGAGGTGCAAGAAAACTGTAGCGCTGTTCGATGGATGGAGCATATGTATCCTAAATAGAAAGATAGCAATTACCATCCCCACATCAAAGCAACATCATCAACGCTCTCGTTTCACCCAAAACTTAATCAACAGCAAGCACCCAAATTAACAAACTTATATGAGCTAAAAATCTCAGCAAAACAAAGAGAGGAATCCACCTACTGGATTGGATAAGTCGTGCCGTTTTTTTTTTTACAGAAGAAAATTTTTAAGAACCAGAAGTTCTAGCAACACCATACCCCACAAGGTTTCATTCACATCCGGGCTTCTCTCGTTCCGGGAGATTAAATTGCCGGTTAAGCATTTTTGGCTCTCGTATCTCATTTTCAATTACTTTCAAATCAACAATATCTGTAGATGCTGTATAAAAGGAGATATCTTCTTTCAAAAATATAACATTGTTGCCAAAAGTTCCGGAATTTTCCTTATTTAGGTTGAAACGGAACAAAATTATCTGGTTACCCAAAATTTCTGTCTGGTGATCTTGTTAATTTTAAAAAATTTGACAGATCGCTGTTCAGATAAAAATTTGTCAACTCACCTCTGACGACCTTAACGCGCTTGTGTACAGAAGCCGGCGATACACTTGAGCTTCATTCGAATCATATTCTTTCGCAGCGAGATCCTCTTCTATGAGTTTGCTGAATGAACAACGGAATTTTGTACTGCCTCTTAAGATCTCGACTTCCTGGAACTCACGATATCCTGTGCTCAAGGCGTTGTCTCGACTCTTTATTAAGGAATCCTGCGGAATCATTTAAGAGTATAAGAAGATCTGGCACTGTATCCACATCTGCAGCGAAAGTCTCAAGAAGATTACCAGCAGCACCACGTAAATCCAAATTTTCGTGAATGCTAAGGTGTTTCCCAATATCCTGCATTAAAATCCTCTGCAAAAGTTAGATTGCATAAAGGCCTCGACATTACATGCTGGCTTATTCACAGATCATTTTTCACATACTTTCTCGAAAAGTGAAATAACTCAAGCGAACTGAAACAAATGAACAAAATAAGATTTAGATGCTAAACTTTCGATATTAACACTTTTTCGAAAACAGCCCAGCCACTTATAAAAAACTATCCTTCTTCACAACCTCCTCCATTCTTGCACATTTACAATCTCCTTGCTTTGATAGAAGTAACGATGTTTACGATCACAGTATTGCTGCGAAATGGCAGTGAAGCTGATTCACATAGATTGGTAAAAGTAGAGAAAACGCTCGAGAGAAACACCACTTCCTGCCGATCTTCTTCATATGCTCTCCAAAAATTTGCTTGTTCAAAACCCAAAGAGAACTTGGTGGTTGCGAGAGTACATGAGAACAGACTAAGTAAGTCGTACATAACTGGATCTTTTGAGTATTATCAAGTCTCCTTTCCTTAATGATGTACGGAAATTCCGTCACAAGTTGCCTGCTCGAGGAAAACCTGGCTTTCACTCTAATACATATAGACGAT